CCTTCTGTTGTTTTGTACCCAGGAAACTTCATTTAAAATTTCATGCTTCAGTTAATAGGCTGTAACAACTTAATTGCTGATTTTAAATAAGTTCATTCAAAATGAGTACTTTATATTTTGTTTTAAAATACTGTTTTTTAATGCTGTCCTTCCAAAGTTTTCATCTATGCCCTACAAGAAGTCAAAATGTGAATGTTTACAAAACTTAATTTCATACTCTATGTCAGAGCCTATCTAACCTTTGAGATCTTCCTTTGCCTCTGGCTCTGCTACCCTTTTAAATAGTGAGCAAGACCCATTTCGATGTTAAGTCTCTACTATGACAAAAGCAACAGAGAATCCTGTGGCACCTTTAAGACTAACAGATGTATTGGAGCATAAGCTTTCGTGGGTGAATGCTGTTCCCCTCTTTTTTTTTCTGTGAAATTTTTTAACAAAAATAAACAATTTTTTGTTCTTTGTCAACATTTCTGTACAAAATTTGTCAGGGTTTTGTTGAAAAACTACAAACTGGAAAACTGGCGGGGGGTGGGGGAACAAACTCAATTTTCAGCAACTGAAAGCCAAAACAGACGGCTGGGGAAAATGTTTTGGATTTACTGCAAATTTTCATCTGCTCCAGCCAATATTTTTTCCATTTTCTTCTCAGACTAGTGTTTTCAATGGTAAACCATCCCAAAATTTCCTTGAAAATTGACATTTCCCTGCAGAAATTTCCATTTTGATGAAAATGGCATTTTTCATTTTAAAAACCCACAACATTTTGTATGTAAAATGTTGACCACCTCCACCAGAATGTTTCAATCTTCTGTAATACCTTTAGTGGGCTAAATGTAATGTTCAGTTACACTGATATGAATCTGGAGCAACCTCGTTGAGGCTACTGTTGCAAACTGAAAGCAGAGTTTGTTCCAATGAGATAGATTCTGCTGTGTATACGCCAGCTCCCGGGAATATCCTTGGTGTAAGGAGGGTCCTTTGGCAGTGTAGAACTGACGCATTGACTCTCTGCTGCCCCCCCGCCAGCTTGTGGAATAGAGGGTGTACTGGGGAAAGAAAAGGACCATCGTTTGCTGACTGCTGTCTATTTTTGCAACAGCATAATGGCCCTAGGGGGTTGTTGCAAGACAGCACAATTTACAGCAGCCCGGGGGCCAAATCCAGACTATGGGAAGCATAAAAGTGACACAGAAAATCTGGCCCTATGTTTGCATCTTGCCAAACTTCATTTTGGAGAGTATTAAAAAGGAAAAGTTGCCAGGCCAAGGGGAAGGTGGACCTTTTGCCTTAAGAGATAGTGGTTCTTACAAGAGCATCTTTGACCTGCCACAAAACACACAATAAGATTTATATTCTTGTTAACTAAAACAATCAATCAAACTTACTACTTGTTCTGAATATTTTTGTATGAGTCTAGAGATAAGAAAAAATAATGGCTTTTCAAAGAACTAAATCCAACGTGTAATGCGCATTGGGAAAAATAACCCCAACTATACGTACAATATGATGGGGGCTAATTTAGCTACAACTAATCAGGAAAAAGATCTTGGAGTCATTGTGGATAGTTCTCTGAAGACGTCCAAGCAGTGTGCAGTGGCAGTGAAAAAAGCAAACAGGATGTTAGGAATCATTAAAAAGGGGATAGAGAATAAGATGGAGAATATCTTATTGCCCTTATATAAATCCATGGTATGCCCACATCTTGAATACTGCATACAGATGTGGTCTCCTCATCTCAAAAAAGATATACTGGCATTAGAAAAGGTTCAGAGGGCAACTAAAATGATTAGGGGTTTGGAACGGGTCCCATATGAGGAGAGATTAAAGAGGCTAGGACTTTTCAGCTTGGGAAAGAGGAGACTAAGGGTACGTCTACACTTACCTCTGGGTCCGACGGCAGGCAATCGGTGTTCTGGGATCGATTTATCGCGTCTTGTCTAGACGCGATAAATCGATCCCGGATCGATCCCGGAAGTGCTCGCCGTCGACGCCAGTACTCCAGCTCAGCGAGAGGAGTACGCGGCATCAACGGGGGAGCTTGCCTGCAGCGTCTGGACCCGCGGTAAGTTCGGACTAAGGTACTTCGAATTCAGCTACGTTATTAACGTAGCTGAATTTGCGTACCTTAGTCCGAAGTGCGGGGGTAGTGTGGACCAGGCCTAAGGGGGGATATGATCAGGGCCGGCTACAGGCACCAGTGGAGGAAGCACGTGCCTGGGGCGGCACATGCTAAGGGGCGGCATTCCGTCCATTCTTGGGGCGGCACAGTCCGAGCGCCTTTTTTTTTCCTTCCGCAGTTGGGGCGGCTTTTTTTGTTTTTTTGTTTGTTTGTTTTTTGCTTGGGGTGGCAAAAATGGTAGAGCCGGCCCTGGATATGATAGCAGTATATAAAATCATGAGTGATGTGGAGAAAGTGAATCAGGAAAAGTTATTCACTTGTTCCCATAATATAAGAACTAGGGGCCACCAAATGAAATTAATGGGCAGCAGGTTTAAAACAAATAAAAGGAAGTTCTTCTTCACACAGCGCACAGTCAACTGTGGAACACCTTGCTTGAGGAGGTTGTGAAGGCTAGGACTATAACAGGTTTTAAAAGAGAACTAGATAAATTCATGGAGGTAAAGTCCATTAATGGCTATTAGCCAGGATGGGTAAGGAATGGTGTCCCTAGCCTCTGTTTGTCAGAGGGTGGTGATGGACGGCAGGAGAGAGATCACTTATGTTCTAGATGATCAGGATGGAGTCTTCATAAAATTTCACCCTTCACGTGATAATCTCATCTACACACAACGCAGACCCAAAACGCCTGATTCAGATTTCATTTACCCTTGTGTTAATCAGGAACAACTGTAATGAATCTGATGGAGTGACACCAGTGTAAAATCAGTGTGAGAATCAGGCAGTGTGTAGGGGGTGGGGACAAGACATTATGCACGTTCTCGCCACTAAAAAATATGGAATAGTTTGCTGGGATGGCTACAGGAGCACATGAAGCTCCCAGAGAAACAAAATGAAAGAACAAAACAGGCACATCAGTACCCCGCTGCATTCTTGTGGTGCATTTGCCCTGGGCCACAGAATGGCCAAAGGCCACTTTGCCCTATTTTGGCAGGAAGTAGGAGCAGGGCTGCTGATACTTCTGTCTCCTTGTCTGTCACATCAGCTGCCACCATAACAAACCTTGGATCACATTCCACTGATTAACCAGTAGGAGGTGTTCAAGAAAGCATGAATCTGAAAGCATGAATCTCTATGATAGTCTTGGCCAATCAGATGAGTTGGAGTCCAAAGGTCCTTCCTGAAGCTGGCTGTTCCACGTGGTTGTGCAATAGCTGCCTGCAAGCTGGGCACCAACTTTTCCTGCATCATCTTTGTTTTAATGACTTTCATAAAAGGAGAAAAGAAAACATGCTTAGTGCAGCCAGAGGAGACCACAGTGCATGCCCCTGTACCATGCTCCAGTGGGACATTGGTCAGGTCTGATGAGCTGAATACGTGGGCGTTGGTGAAATGGCTTCTCTGTCAGTGAAACATTTATAACACGCTGTATTTGTGCTGTCTCTCATTGGAGGCTGGTTTACTGATAGGAGTGTCAGGTAGAAATGAAGCCTTTCCATTTTTCACATGAACAGATGCTTGTGGTGACTCATTTGTGAATTGACAAACTGACATATTTGTCACTCCTAGACATATTTTTCATCTGTCCATTCCTTCATACATCGCTTCTGCCAAAGAGCCCTGGTTCTAGGAAAGCATCTGCCTGGCTGTAGAAGGGACTTCATATCTAGCTCTCCAAACTCCACTCCACACAACTGAAGTCAACATTTTCCCTTCTCTGCCGACCGAAGTCAGTGGAGCTGGTGGAACTGAGAGAACCATTTACACTGGTGAAACTGAGAAAAGAATTCAGTGTAGTGTGTTTTCAAGGCTGTTGTAGCAATTCATTCTTGTGATTTTGCATGTGATTTGGGCTGCAAACGGGGGTTAAAATAAGGGAGAGCATGGGGAAGCACAACTCCTCCCTCTTCTCCCTCACACTGGCTTGAGGGAGCCAGTCACCCCTCCCACATACTGGCTCTCCCTCCTCCATGGCTGGTGAGATGAGGACTCATCTGAATTGGGGGCAACAGGCAAACCTGACGCCTATGTGGGGATTTGCTGGGGCTCCCTGCCTGCCAGCAGAAGAGGCGGCAGCAGCTGATAGTGAAGAATGAGGAATTTCAGCTCGGAATCCTCTATCCATCTCTTCCCTCTCACAGGTGTATGTGACCCCTGCTGAGTCCCTGTCTCCTTCAGCAGAGAAGAGACTTCCCTCCATCAGCTTCTTCTCCCCTCAAATGTAAGTAGTTGCATCAGGTACTTCATTGTTTTCACAGGAGGAACCCTATGGCTTCATTTTTTTATCTGTATTTTTTATTCATAAAGTGGTTTTTGTCCCCACGTAAAGCCCTTGTACCAAGAGTGTGTGGTAGCAGCCACTTTTCAGCGTTCCGAAGAACAGATTGTACTGAAAAAGTTAGACCATTAGTTCCCCATCCAATTCTTGTGCATTTGCCATTGATGAAGCCTGCCTCTCTTTAGCACAATGGTGTGGAAAGCACGCAGCACAACTTACAACTTGCACTGTTATCTCTTCCGAAAGTGCACCCTTGATTCCTGGAGGGGAAATCTGAATTCAAACCCAGCTTGCCCAGATACAGTGCAGAGGCTGATGGTGTACAGCTCTTTGGACAGAATACCATGCAGTGGAGGCACTCGTCCAGCCACACACAAGAGCTGTGGGGAAAACAAAAACTACAGCCAAATAACTTTGATGTCCTGGCTGTGAAAAGTGCAATAAAAATCAGGGCAAAAACAAAAGTCAAAATAGGGCATTTATTTTATTTCACCTCAGTTCTTGTATTGGCATTAGGATTTCAATATAGAACAATATTTCTATTAGCTCCATGCTGGTAAGAAAAATGAAACTATGTTATTTTTAAAGATTATTTTTACTTACCTGGTGTTTCCAGCTACATCTCCCCCGTGCATCTGTCACATACACCGTCTTTTGACAATGATTGACTGACTTTTCATCCATACTCTGAATATTGCGGCACGGGGAATGCTGTATTTGAGTAGAAATGTGCTGATCTAAGAGTTTAATGTATCTTTGAATGTTCACACAAAAGCACAGAGCATGAGAGCACCCTTTCTATACAGCTGCTCTGAATAAGTCAGTGAAGTTTACAATGTTATAAAGACAGGGGTCGTTGTTCAGCAGCATTTGTAGGCAGACTCTTGTTTCACAATATGTCTTAAACCTTGAGCTGTAGAGTGAGGGTGCATTATAGTGTTATTACTGAGTTATGTCTAAAATTACACAAACCAAGGGTATAATGTAATTGTTTGCTCTAAGCACAGCAGATAAGGCCTGATCTCTTTCTGATTCCTGTCTCTCTAGACCAGGGGTCGGCATCCTTTCAGAAGTGGTGTGCCGAGTCTTCATTTATTCACTCTAATTTAAGGTTTCGCTTGCCAGTAATACATTTTAACGTTTTTAGAAGGTCTCTTTCTATAAGTCTAAAATATATAACTAAACTATTGTTGTATGTAAAGTAAATAAGGTTTTTAAAATGTTTAAGAAGCTTCATTTAAAATTAAGTTAAAATGCAGAGCCCCCCAGACTGGTGGCCAGGACCCAGGCAGTGTGAGTGCCACTGAAAATCAGCTCGCATGCCGCCTTTGGCACACATGCCATAGGTTGCCTACCCCTGCTCTAGACTCTTGGTACTTTTGCTTTTTTCCAAGACCATGGTTCACTTTTCTTGTTGTTTTATGGGCCAGATTCTGATCTTCGTTCCATCAGTGTCAATCAGGGGTAACTCCACTGGCTTGGATGAAATTGGTTATGCTGGTGTCAATATAGAATTATTCCGTTGCCAGCAATGGCATTATCCCAGAATGACACTGTTGCAACTCAGATCCCAATCCGACCCTATCCCTCATAATTAGAAACTGTTTTGTTTCCACTTTGCATAGAACAGTCCAGTGGTGCCAACTCAGTGATCTAAGGCCTATGTACATGACAACAAAATCTGCATTAGATAAATCCAATTTTAAAAACTGGCTTAGCCCGAGAGAAGTTTTCTTATAATATGGAGAGGACCTAATTAGTAAGCTGCCTACAGAGCTATGCAGACATTGGTCTGATTTCTTGGTGGTTATGTCTCATTCCCTGAACTGGACCTGACCATAAAGTGGAGGCAGCATGATTAGCCCCTCAGGGAGTGTTTCTTGTAACTCAGCAAAGAGCCCACCAGGCTGCAAACAGGCGATACGAGTGCTGTCAGTCTCCCGTAGTTGAAGACTGATGATGGGGTCTTGGGAGGATGAGTTAAGGCTACCACTCAGGGGTCGGGGGAAGGATATTCTTGCTCTCAGTGGTTTGTATGTGCACACAGCACACTGCTGCAAGATCTCTTGGAATCCTTTAGAGGAGTCGGAGCCTAGTCCAGTGTTTTGAACCAAAATTTCCCCTTCCCAGCTATTGTTGTGCACCAGTTAGTTGTCCCCTTTGCCCCCGAAGTGGCTCTGGGTTAGTGGTGGTGTTTGTTCATAGTAGGGATGCAGGAAGCATTTTGTTATCTTTCAGGGTGGAAGTTGATACACAAAATAAATGTAAAATATTATTAATTTCACCTATTATTAAAATTCTTTCCCTTCTGGTCCTTTAGCCGTATCTTTACAAAGACGGTGATGTCACCACTTGCAAATAGTCAAGCTTGATTTTGTAAAAAATGAAAACTCGATCACTAAATATAGTAGAACATGCAATGTAATGGCAAGTGTCAAATTCATGTCCGTCACTCCCCTAATATTTTAACTTAAACTTGCTATCTACAGTACTGCACTGGTTACAGCTTGACTAGGCACACGATCTCTTTTGTAATTCCACCTTTCACATATTTAATCTAGCTTGGGGGCATTACTGTAGAATTTAAGAATAGGTCCATATAGGCTTTGGAGTCCAGAGATTGCAGCCCTGATCCTGCAATCGGCTTCATGTGGCAGAATCCAGTGTGCCTGTGCAGAGCTAATTGCAGCATTGGGACATTGGGCTCTCCTCCTCCAAACATTATGCAAATACTTAATGTTGAGGTCAGTAGGGCTACACACAGGGTTTGTAAAGTTAAGCATGTGCATAAGTCTTTGCAGGATTGGGGCTCTGGTTTGCACACCTGCTGTATCACTGACATGATGTGTGACCTGGGGTCAGTCAGTTAACTACTCTAGCCCAGATCCTCAAAGGTATGTAGGTACTTAACTCCCATTCCCTCCCCTGGAAACCACTATCAAAGTGCAGAGTATTGTCACTGCGAAGCCATGGTGATCAAGGGAAAACAAGGAGAAAAACAAGTAAAGAATCGTTGGTATCACACTGTTAATTTGATATTTACAATGTTTGGTTGAAATATGGGGAACCTATCACATGTATATTATCAGTACAAAAACCAACATCTCATTTCTATTCATGCATATTGCACTCAATGGTGTAACACACTGCATAAAAGATAAGAAACTTCTTAGGATAAGAACAGGGTGAGGTTTTATATTTTGCCGTGGCCTACTTAGCAAAGGAGCACCAGATTCACACTTTATATTTAGCTGCTTTTGCTATGAAATACTCATTGCTAACACCTGTTATTCCACAGCTTGCTGCACCCCTACTCATAGCATTGTCTGTGTGCAGCCTGCTTGTGGTATTTGATCTTCTCCTGTTTAACTGCCATTGCTTTTAACTCTCTAGCACCTGTGGCCAGCATTGCATATGGCTGGCGATGCAGAACAGGATATGAAAACACTAGAACAAATAGCAAAAGAAGCCTTGCAACTGCACAATGGGAGCTAAAGGATCATTCTGAATATAGTCTGTGAAACTGCAGCACTATCTACCACTGATGCCAGGTATAATGGCTATATGCTCTTACACCGTCAATTAACATTGGCAGCACTCCTGAGTCTACTCTTACTGATTTCATTCGGGGTAATGTCAGACCCAGCCTTACAGTTAAAAAAGTGACCACAATGTTCTGCAGTAATAGCCCCAAACACTCCAATATCCCTATAGTAAGATGTAGTATTTGGGCCATTGCTGTAAAATACTGTGACTTTTTTAAAATGAGAGCAGCTATGGCTCAGTGCTGTATTATGCTATGTCTTTAAGACAAGGCAACCCTAAATGATCCCATATGTACTTGAAACATTGATCTTGTTTAATGACACAAATTTGCCTTCATTAATCCTGAAGTTCCATAGAATTTGCTCTATTACTCAGTGCCAGTGTGGAAACAATAGGCCAAGTGTAAACCAGCATTGTTCCATTGAAATCAACAGAATGGTGTTGATTTTCACCAGCTGAGGATAATTTCTCTGTATATGTTATACATTTCTGGCAAAATGTGCTTATTCTTACTCATACAAGTAGACCTGCCACATGAGTAAGCGGAGCAGTATTTGGTCCCCCTTACCATATCTAACATTTGCTAACATATCAGAGATAGTTAAAACTACAACTGGACGGGGAAAGGTAAATATTTCCTGCAGATGTTCTGGGGAAAAAAGGGGGGTGGAGATTTTTGCAAAAATGCTCTGGCTTTTTTTAAAATGTGAAAACTGGGGGTGAAAATCCAGGCTATGTGTTGTGTTTGTTTGTTGGTTAGTTTTTGTTGGGCGTTGCAAAATGATAAACTTTGAATGGAAAAATTTTTCCACAAAAATTTTCATTCAGGGGACAAAAGTTCATTTTAAATGCAGGGGGGAAAAAAAAGTTTTGATGGAAAAATTTTTGACTTAAAATCTGACAAAATTGATCAATTTTGTGATCGTTATAATGCATAGCACAAGCTACAGTACTGATATATTTAATGTACTCTTGTACATAAACTTGTGCCATTCTACGGTATGTATTTTATGGTAAGTTTTGCCAATTGGTTAATATATACAAAAAGGACTGTCACAGATATAGTTCTAAACTATAGAATTTTTAACATAAGCTGAATTACCCAAACTGTCCCACTTAGCCTGTGTCATTTTTATATTCTGCTTACAAACCCTGCAAATACACACCTGACATATCATTGCCACGGATTCATTTTCTAATAGTAACAGATGATGAGGATCAAAGTGTAATGTGAAATTTAATTTAAGATACATGCACAGTGCAGGAAAGGTTGAAAAACCAATTTCATGTTAAAATTTGTAGTGTAAAGAGTTTCTTTAAAAGGGTATATATCCCAAATAGTTCTGTGAAAATCCACTGGCTTTAGTTGGGGTCCTTTCACCCTGCCCCCTACCCCCACCACACCATTACTTGTATTTGCATGGTGAATTTTATATTATATTTGTTTAAAACTGTAAGGCATTACAGCGCTATTGTGACGGGCCCCAGCGAAATAACCCAGGGCTAGACCGTTAAAAGCATTTAAGAAAAAGAGTAAGATCTCAATCCTACATTAATGGCGCATACACATGCTTATCTTTAAGCACGTGAGTAGGACCACTGAAGTCAGTGGAAGTCTGCACGTGTTTGCAGGATTGTGCTTAAAGCCCTAATTGGACTAGGATGTTTTACCACAAGGATGTTTTGCCTCTAGACTCTCTGGCCTTTCCAGATTCCACTTTATGTAATGAAACTGCACATTCTCCATTACAAATCTGTGGGGGTTGGTATGACATGAAAATGAATTTACTATGAATTTGGTTCCTTATAGGATGAAAGTCAGATGCAGTTTTCCTCACTAGTGTTTCATGCAGTCCTCCTGGTAAGCACAAAACTTCCATTGACTTCCATGCGTTCCAAGTGTGTAAGAGCAGCTGAAGCCAGAAGGAGCTTGATCTTTGTGGTTCCTCGGGCATTTAGGATCTTAGTCACTTTGTTCTGGTGGCTTCTGAGCCACCAACAATATCTTCTGATTAGAAACCTCAGGTGCTGTTTTCTCCCCACCAGTTCTATTCTACACATAGTTCCACAGGCCTGAATCCCTTGAAAGGTTATGATCAGCCCCTAAGCCCAAAGCTGTTACTTTAATTTCAACCTATTCATTTTTCTTAGTTTCAACCAGAACATATAGTTTATTTGGTTTTCTGTATTAATAATCTAAAGTAACTAAAATACAGATTGTGGTTTCGAAGCAAATCTAAAAGGATGTTTTTGAATTCTATTAGAGTGCTCTGCTTGCTGTCTGAATGTGAGACTAACGTTTTAATAGAATATACCGGACTATTCCAATACTATATTACACTGGACTGCAATGCACACAACTTGCTTTAGCAAATGGAGCGTGATCCTACAACCTTATAGGAGCAATCTTTATTCATGAAAATAGTCTTAACTAGGGCTGGATTACTGGTATGAGCGATTGTTTACTCACACAATTAGTCACTCTTAGAGTTCATATATTATGGTGATGTACGGTATACACATCTTGATAGAGTAAGGGATGCAGGGTTGGGCCCATCATTTGTATTTCTCGCTGATATATTTGCTGTAATATTATTATTAACTGCTATAGCATGGCAGGTAGTTCTCTTATTTTTATATTAAACTGCTATTTCTTTCAAGCCTGTATATTCTTCTTCTTTAATGCCGGTGATGTGCTAGATTCCACAAAATAGAGACAGTCCCTGCCTCAGAGAGTTTATAATCCAAGTACTATTTGTGAATCTACCAGTGCTGGTGTACCTCCTGCATCTCATTTACAGTATACAACAGTGAAACTGATCAACAACACCAACATTGCCTGTCTGTATTAAATCAGTCAATCTGGTTAAATCAACTCTCAATTATAACACCAATGCAAGAACTCTGAATTTCTGGAATGAAACTGTTAGTGAAAAAGTGAAATTGTGCAAGACAAAGGGACTGGGTATCTAGTGGCCACGACAAGGCACCGGAGCTGGGTATTTCATAGGCACAGAAAGAATGAATTGACACATGTAGTCACCATTTCGTTGTATAAAGAAAAGGCTGCTGCTGATTGGTTCAGTCCTGCAAGGGGCTGAGCCAAGGGAACCCCCCCCCTGAAGTTAGATGGAACCGAGGGCACTCAGGAACTCACAGGACTGGGCCTGCACGTAACCATGAAGCAGGAAATGCTGATCTAAGAGTTACCGTGACATATGCAGATTACATTAAGAAGTCTCATGATGGCCACAAAACACCTGCTGCCACAGCCTTGTATTTTACACTGGGGGGAAGAGAGGTGTAGAATGGATTAGGTTTTAGTACAAAGAAGATGTAGTAACTGACACCTTGAGAAGGCCAGGGAAGCAGCAGAAGCATGGATAGAAAGTTGTTCGCACCCATCATTAGCCACTCAAACAATCTGCAAGGTCATCTGCTAGAGCTGGCAAGGTCATCTGCTAGAGCCGCAGAGGAGAGTAACCGGGCATGGTCCAGGGTGTCCTGTGTTTGTTCAAGTGTGTGTGTGCCCTGACCTGAGAATGGTCTCTGCGCTGCTACCAAAGGCTGCTGTGCACCCTTCCCACAGCTGCACCGGGATTGTGGCTGGATCTGTGCCCTCGCCACAACACATTTCATGCTGGGATGCAGGGAACCCCATGGCACACAGAGATTGGAGAACCAATGCATTGGCTCCCCACATCCTGTTCCCCCTCCACCTCATTGGTTCCACTGCCTGTCAGGTTTCATGTGCCTACAGACGAGTGGTAGGTGTGATTTGCTTTTAACCCTGGTAGGTATGATGTATAGATGACCTGGTGGTCCCCGCATATTGCTGCTCTTCTGATGCCTTTGTGCTGCTGGGAGGTACTTAACAGGGTTTTCATGCCAATTAAATTTGACTTAGTGGCTGATAAGATGTTTTCTGTCCTTTTGAAGGGAACAAACCCCTACTAGTATCCTCCCACTCTGTGCTGAAGTTAGCAATACGCTGCCTGTGGGGTTACATTGAATAATATTATGAGGAAACTTTATAGTGACATGGAGATACAATTGCTGGGGAAAAGAGCTTTCATTATACCCTTAAAATGGGGAACACAGATGCCTCCTATTACATGACCCACTAGTTCTTTTCAATGTCTAGATCCTACCAATATCTTAAGACAGCAGAATAACAACCTATGGCATTGAAAGCAACATCAGACAGACAGAGAAGGAAGGATAGCCCAGGGGTTAGGATGTTAGCCTGAGACTTGGGAGACCTGGGTTGTTTCCTGCTCCACCCCAGATTTCCTGTGTGACCGTTAGCAAGTCAGCCTCTCTATCCTCAGTTGCCATCTGTAAAATGGGGCTATTAGCACTTCCCTTCTTCACAGGGGTGTTGTGAGGATAAAGCATTAAAGGTTCTCAGATATTATGGCAATGGGGGCCATATAAGGACCTTAGAGAGACAATACATACATCTGCATATATATATATATAAAAAAAAATCTCTCCTTACTGTTAGAGTTTGTTTCTCTTTGGCACTGTAAAAACTCCACTGAATGAAAAGTGACTCCAGAGACCCAGTTGTTTTGTATGTGCAGAGAAGAGTGGCATTTCCACCAACAGTGACGTTCACCGTGGTCTGAGGAACTGTCACTGTCATGCCGCTGATGTGGCCTGCAGGGAATAAGCATGGTGAAGGGAGATCAGTCAGGGGCGGCTGCACGTTAAGAAACTCTGCTTTGAGTTCTGTTGGACTGGCTCCCCCTCCTCCCCCCTGCTCTGCAGGAGACAAGTGATAGCCCTTTTCACTCTGTTCAATAACTTTTTCCCTGGTGGTGGGATGAGTGTTCTAGATTGAGTAGCTGGGGAGGGATGAAGATGAAACAGGACCCAGATCCACTACAATTTCATGCCCTCTTTTAAAAGAAAAATAAATCTCTAAGTTTCCTAGGCCTGGTCTACACTACACAGTTACATTCTTTCCCAGCTGAGTGCTCACTGCGGCTTGGAACGTGTACTCTTATTTCCCAGCCAGATCATTCAATCAGACAATTTGTATAGTGGGGTGCTGAGAGCCATTGAACCAAACTGTAAACATTGTATATAATGGAAACGGCTTCAAGCCAGGGAGTGCAGCAGCACCCCCCGCACCGCTAGTTCCAGCTCCTGTGCATTCAATGTTTTTCCAGCTCCCCCTTGCTTCCTTGCTCTTCTTCCTCCCAACCACCATCACAGCGCCTTGCTCTGCCTCACCCAAGTGGTACCATGCAGCACCGTCAGCCCCAGACAATATGGCCCTTTTTTACATTTATCCCCAAGGCTCAGATAGGCCAGTCCCAAGTCTCACTCGCTGCTGCACCTGGTTCCTCTAAACTGTGCAGCCTAGATTCCTAGAATCCAAGCATCCTTTCTCATCTCTCCCCTGCTAATAGCTTAGCTTCTTAGCTGTGCACCAGAGCCTTGAGAAGCACATCATGCATTTGCGCTGTTCCCAAATGGAATCTGGAGGCAGCGGTGGCGAGAGCTAATTAGGTGCTTTAAAAATGTAAAAAGCCCTAAGTATTATTTACCACTATTTTTCTAGTGGATAGTGTGAGCTGATATATTGCGTTATAGTGAGATTAGGATTTATTTTTATGGTCAAGTTATCATCTTTGGAATTGTTTTCCCCTTCTGGGATAACAATTCTGTAAAACTGATCAACCTACAGGCCACATGAAACAAATGGAGTGGAGATCAAAAATAAATATTTAATATATAGTACACCATTAAGAGTCTATTGCAATTACAAATCATAACTGGCTGTTTGAACACAATTCTTTGCATACTTTCCTGTAATTCTGACAATAATTCTTGCCTTACTTACCCATTGTGCACCAGTAATGTATATGATAAGCTTGGCAAAATTTGATTTTTAAAATAATTATTATATTTAAAACAGATGTTTGTTTTATAAGCATTATTTTCTATTTTTATCAATTCCATGGTTGTGGGGAAATTATCGGGCGGTCAGACAATAATTATTTAATGACCGTAGATGTTGAGATTCAAAATAAGTTCTCAAGCAGCATTTTTCTTACTTTACATATCTGTAAATTTCAATTAGTATCGAGGGAAATATTTTTTCATTGGTCTGTGCATGTGTGGGGAAATTGACGTTTATGACATTTACAAATAAAAATGTAATCCTTCAAAGCTTAGGTATTTCTTATGTACCTAGTTATCGCATTGAAGTTAATCAGAGTTGGAAAGAAATGTTGAATTAGGCCCAACAAGTTATACAAGGCAACAAGGTAATGTGAATTTCATCTGTTAGTCAAAAAGAAATAATTAAAGTAAAGCAGTCTGGACTTCAGCGGAGTGGGGTTTTTGTTATACGGCTGAATCCAATTTTCAAGCTACAGCTTTAGGATTCTGATGGTGCATCTGTCCCATCTTAAAATGTTCCACATTAAAGAAAAACATAAGGTTCCTGTAGTTTCCTGTGTGGGAATTAGGTGTGAAAACTTTGTATTGAAAATATAATGCTCCAGATGGGCTTGTTCCACTTACACTTAATTGAGATACTAGGTACGAAATATTCTTACGAAATTTGAAGGAATAGTTGTGCATTTTTTCTTAGAGGGCTATCACTGATTTTTAAACAGAACTCCTCACTAACATCAATAGGGTATTCTGCTCCAATAATCCATGGTATGATACGATCCATAGTGTGAAAAGAAATACCATAGATTCTGATATATTTTAATTTTATAAATATTCTTTCTTCATCAGCTACAGCAATGAGTGAAAATATTTTATAAATGATTCTAAGCTCTTCAAGGCAGGGACCATGTCTTCCGATGTGTTTTTACAGCACTGTTCTCACTGAGGTCCTAATCCTGACTGGGGCCTCTCTACGAGCATAAAATAAATATTAAATAATACTATCACTCTGGGTGTTTGTGTTAAGCTATCCTCTTCAGTATTAACCCCTAGAGCTGGCTGGAGGAGGACAATTCTGTTCCATGACAACTTTCAAAATTGGTTTTCGTTCTACATTAGAACAAAACCAAAATCTTTCAAACATTTTCACAAAACAGCCTTGTGTCAAAATGTGTGGGTTCTGATTGAAAAGGACAGGTATTGGAGCTCGCTCTGTCTCTCTCTGTCTCTGTGGTCAGAAGGGCCCAGAGAGCACTGGACCTCAGAAACCTTCCTGTCAAAACCATTGTTGAAATCGATACATCTCTGCACAATGTTTTGGTTGCGACAAATTAGCGTATTTCAATGAAAATACATTTAGCTGGAAATATTCCAACCTGCCTTATTAACCACGTCGGGCACTATCCTGCCAGCCTTTCTCGTCCAGTGAGACTGCTCCTAGCCAGTGCCGGTAGCAAGCTAGCGCTCGCTACTGTGTTTGTAGGGCTGGACCCAAAGAGCCCGATCCAGCAACACTGAAGTCAATGGGAGCTTTGCCATTAACTTCAGTAGGTGCAGGATCAATCCCATAGCCCTTGCTCATGCAGGTAGTCAGAGACAAAATGTGAGCAAGAATTACTCATGTGAGAAAGCTTACGTGCTCGATCTTGCAAGCCTTTCCTTACAAGTATTTAATCTGTTTCTATGCTTAGTCTATGGCATAACTATGAGAGATTTCCTTGCTACAGAAAAAGTTAATATATAGTTTTTAATGGTAACAAAATAAATTAAGCAGGAAGCCAAATGCTCTGCTAGAGGCCAAAAAACCGTGGATGCAATAGAGACACTGATTGTATGTCTCATTACCAGGGCCGGCTCCAGGGTTTTGGCCACCCCAAGCAGCCAAAAAAAAAAAAATAAGCCGCGATCGCGATCTGCAGCGGCAATTTGGCGGGAGGTCCTTCGCTCCGAGCGGGAGTGAGGGACTGTCCGCCGAATTGCCGCCGAATAGCTGGACCTGCCGCCCCTCTCCGGAGCGGCCGCCCCAAGCACCTGCTTGCCAGGCTGGTGCCTGGAGCCGGCCCTGCTCATTACAACAATCTGTAACCCACTGAGGCCATGTCTACACTAGCGAGTTTACAGTGTAGACGCTCTCTGCTGGCGGGAGAGCTTCTGTCACTGATCTAGCACTGTCTGTGCTGGCACTTCTGTCGTTTCTTTCACACCCCTGAGTGACATAAATTATACTCACAAAAGTGGTAATACAGACATAGCCTCACTCTCCTTTTGTCCTATGACTACAGAGGTGTTAGTTGCCCACTTCATTTTGAATGGGTTTTTGCAACATGAGTTAACTCCTTATGCTTAACAATCTGTTCCACCTTGTATTTAGCTGTGACACTCTGATTACCTTTCCCAGACCTGAAGAAGAGCTCTGTGGAGCTCGAATGCTTGTCTCTTTCACCAACAGAAGTTGGTCCCCCCCAAAAGAAGATATTACCTCACCCACCTGGTCTCTAACAAACTAAATGTAGTTTTGGTATCTTGATGCTGGCAGTTGCAGAGGTCTGCACTGCTGATGTACATAGTCCGAGTTTCCATAGTGAACATCTGCACCATTTGAAACATAAATCTGTAGTTTTAAAATTTAAACCAAATTGTTTCACTGAACACCTCTACTAACATTGAGTTGCTTTATGCTTCTAAGGTAACTAGCTATGCTTAAAAGAAAAATAGACCTGTGTATGATAAACAAAAGTCAGGAGTAACTGCTTAAATTGTTCATATGATCTCCAGAAGAAATAATAACATCTCGAAGTCTTTATCTTGCAAGGTGCATCTGTGGTGTAGTGAGCACCCTCAACTTCCATTTTCTTCAGTAGCAGTTGAGGATACTTGGAACCTCACAGGATCAAGCTTTTAATGTCTATTTCTACATGTCTTAAAAGTAATACTCAGCGTAACTAAACTTCCTTTAAGCATTAATAATGTATAAGTCTTAATATACCATATAAATCCCAGATTTCACAAAGATTTACATCCATATTTAACTTTAAGCATAGGAGTAGACGCAATAAAGTCCAAAGGATTATTCACATGCTTAAAGTGAAATACGAGCCCAACGTCGCCAAGTCATTATTTCTCAAGGATATAGCCCATAGAAACAAGACAAGAGCGCGAACAAATCTAATTTTGAGATGTCTGAAAAATGCTAAAGCTTACGCTTGCCTCCTACTCAATTTACAGCAACAAAGCATTAATTTACAGTAGGCAATGCTAAAATAGTCTCCTAAGACAAAATACTAAATCACTATTCTGTCTGTTACGATTCCACAAGATATTTTCTTTGGATCATCTCCACAGTTTTCATTCCAGTTAGAAGTAAATCTTTGATGTACTCCTACTTTGCTGGCAAAGTTCGCCTGCTATTTTATTTATGTCCTTTGTTTTTCTCACCTGAAAGGGCTGCTATAATTGCGAATAGCTTCAGCATTGTTGCAAACATCTTCTCGAAGTCTGGAGAGAAAAGAACCCAGATGCTGCTGCTTTCATGGACTAAAACTCAACTGATTTTTTTTTAAGTGGGTTTTTTGTTTTCCTTATCAGCAGCGTATCAACGAGTCAACAGGCTTTTTTGTTTTCCTCCTTTATCATCTATAGACCTTTCTCAGAGTAGTTTGTGACTGTTCAGTTGAAACCATTTCATGGGGTGTGTGCGCCTGAGACACTTGTTAATAATAAACTCTAGAATTCTGCAAATCACATAGGGTTAGGCTCTACCGCCATTACTCATGCCAAGGCAGTACTTGGCTTCACAAGTACTCCCAGTGACTCCAGTGGGACTCCTTATAAAGTACTACTCAACGTGAGTACAGATAGCAGAATTTAGCCCCTGGTGAATAAGGGTGACAGAATTTGGCCCTTATTCCTCGTTAAGAAAAAATTATATCATTTGTTTTGAAAAATGGATACTGTGGCAATAATGCTTTGAGTATGTTTGAAAAATGGAAACACGTAATTATATAGAAATGCTACATTGTGCTCTCATGCATAATTCTGCTTTGAAACATCTACAGGGAGCCCCTACAAGAGACAACAGCCTAAAATAAAATTAAAGGAGCCTATTTTTTTTTTTTAAATAATGGAATATAATTGATTTTGATCCATGTACTTGGATGGTGCTAACAAATTTGATAAGAAAATTGCACTATGACTTTATTTTGTTTTGTTACAAAGAGTTAACAAAATCCTCGTCATCAAGGTAAATCCCAAAGGGACGTAGCCTCCTTGCAGATCAAGCTCTCTAGCTAGGTCCTTAAGAGAGTCTGGCTGGATATTCAGCCTATATCCACCACCTCCAGAACTTAGTAGGAAAGCAGGGTAGTCCAGTGGACAGAGTTTAGGACTTGATGACCTGGGTTCCGTTCCTGGCTCTGCTGGTGACTTTGGGCAAGTCATTTAATGGCCCTGTGATTCAGTTTCCCCACATGGGAATAACCATGCTCACCCCTCTTTGTAAAACACTGTGTTCTGTGGCGGCAAAGTGCTATAAGAGACTGAGTGTTCTATTAATGATAATGATTCATGAAATTAGGGGCCTGTTCCTGCTGGGGGCTGACCACCTCCTGGGAGTCAGTGAAATTCACCAGGAGCTGTGGGTGCTCCAACTCTTGCAGGACCTGGCTCTCCATTCTTTATTCCATCCACTTCGGTTGATATTGATTCAGAATCACAGGTCGCAATGATTAGAGTTGTTTCCAGTTATGCAACATTGTACATTTAGGTGGATGCATGACAGAGGGCAGTGCTGCCTTTCTCCTATGCATAAGGCCACATGTATAGATGGGGTACTGGAACAGGGCATGAACCAAACCCCAAGACTCAAGCTCCTCCCCCAGACTTTGTGAATGCATGGCTCTGGGTGCATGCTTGGTAATCTGTGCTTATCACTACAGGTGATCAAATTTAATGGACCAAGTTAGGTGAATTCTATTCTATGTTCCAATATTTCTGTAGTTGAAAAATGCCTGAATATCCGCCCCCCCCTACACACGCGCGCGCGCACACACAAGTGTTTGTTTTTCCTACTTCGTGCTCCTCACAATGTTCCTACAGGGTAGCAATATTTTCTCCATTTTATCCCTGGAACAGTGACTTGATCAGAGCTGACCTAGAGGGGCAACTGTAGATTCTGGGATTCAAATCCCAGCCCAAGTCCCTCCCGAAATTCACCTCTACCTCGATATAACGCGACCCGATATAACACGAATTTGGATATAACGCGGTAAAGCAGTGCTCCGGGTGGGCGGGGCTGCGCACTCCGGTGGATCAAAGCAAGTTCGATATAACTCGGTTTCACCTATAACGCGGTAAGATTTTTTTGGCTCCCGAGGACAGCGTTATATCGAGGTAGAGGTGTATAAAAGTGTTCAAATTCAAGATATTGACCCATTCGCAAATAAAACATTTAGGGCCAAATTCTGCCCACACATACACATGGGAAGCACCAGTTGACTTTCATAGGATCTGCTGGTGCATACTTTAGGCAGAACACATGCTAAGGAGTGAGCCTATGCTATTGTACCTGTTCGGAGGCAGTGGACATCCTGACAAAGGGTCTTTATAACTTACATGACCACCCAGTTATAGCCTGTGGTATTATATAGCCCCATTATTATACTGCTTTGCTCCTTTGCAGGTAGCCTTGCCAGGATTCCCCCAGCAGAGAATCTGACTAGGAGGTCTTAAATTATTGATCCCTGCAGCAGGCAAGATGATGCCAGGAAAGATTGCTGCCCATACCTGCATGGCCCAAGGGCCTGTATCCTCCTCTAATTCCCTGTCATTTAATAGCCCAAATGCCTCTCTTTTGTCTGACTCTCATGCAGGGAGCCTTGCTGAGTATTTTTTTTTTTCTTCCCCTCACTTTACATTGATTTTTGTGTGAATTCAATGCTTGTGAAAGGTGATAGTTTTATATCGCCTGGAGGAGGATGTTCTCTGTTTATCCACAGAATAGGAAGAGCACAGCCAGCAGCACAACTTCCCCACCAATGAGGGACACGTGGATGAGACTGCCAACAAAGTTGCCAATCCGTACCAGTGGTGGTGGTGACTTGTGTGATGTGGGAAGGTTTACTAGACACTGAACTGCAGCCATCAATCCCATTTCACACAGGCCATCAAACGGCCAAGAACTTTTGGCCATGGCCAGCATGGGCTGGTTTCACACAGGCAACCTAGAAGTGAAATGGCATATATCCTATAATCCGTATCGTAGTCCAGCCAGCCTCTGTGGTTGAGTCTCTTGTGAAGATGACATATAGAACCTGCCAGGATCTATTGTGCTGCTCACACAATAGACTGTAACAACGTCTGTGGGAATCACAGTAGAAAGATGTCACCGTGTACAAAGCAACTTCCCTCTATTTTTTTTTTAATATTCAAATCATTCTTCCATGAAATGGAGGCTCTAGCTTCCCCAGTGGCTCAGCTTTCCTTCAGATAAGTGTAGACATTTTCAACAATGAGGATTAGTCAGTTTGCCGCAGGTGGAGTGGTAACTCTTATCTAAAGATAAGATGGGAAATGGAGAGGGCCAGTACCAGGAACTGCATGTTAACAGACTATGTGACTCAAACCTATGTACACTGAATCACACTCAGGAAGGTCCACTCTTAAATAATTCCCATTTAGACACTCTGCAAACACAAGCGTCACTCATTTAAAAAACAAAACCCACAGCCACATATTCATGGGAAGGTAGCAGGCCGTCCATCCAGTCCCCAGACAAGCACTTACATGATACTTCAAGGCTGGTTATTTCTATATGAAGCCATGGCTTTGACTAATTAATAAAACTTCCTGAGTAACTCCACGTTTGGCTGGACTAAGCTCTGCAGCACTTTAAGCCCTTTGTGTTTCTGAAATATGCTAAATAAGTTATTCCTCAAAGGCACCAAAAACAGAGTAGAACCTGCTTCACAGAGTTCCCAAGCTCAGCATTGTATCTGATTGCAGTGGATGAACAGAAGAATTTAATTAAGTTTCATACAAGTGCAGAAATCAAATTTCTTTAAGCCCCTAAATCCATCATTAGGTTGACTTTCAAATGCACATGACAGATTGCTTGCTACTATGCAGCATCATTTGATGTCTAATAAAATGTCTTATATAATGGTGCCTAGGGTGTTCTTTACCTCAAGGTGGTCTGGAGTTAACTGATGAAATGTCTGGTAGCTCTGTAAAGACTGATGATCAGTAAATGATCTGATTATACAAACCATGTATTGTGGGCAGCACCAAGCTAGGATAACTCAAAATGCATTGATCAGAAAAATATTTAGTTCTATGCAATACTTTATCATTTATTCTTGCTGCATTTGATTAATATTTATAATGTAACTCCTCATTCTTGAAACACATTGCAATGTATTGTGCTGTGTGGGCTAGTGTATACATGTAGCCCTGGCTTCTACTCTATGGAATCAGAATTTCTCACGGGCATATCACAGGCTGAATGCTGCTAACATCGACTGGAGAGTCTCCTTTAGTTTAATTGGTAGGGGGCCTGTGCTTTTGGAGCAGGAGAATCTGGGTTTTGATCCCACTCTGCCACAAGGTTCCATGTAGCCCTGGTGTGCAGCAAAGGGGCAGCTGTGAAGCTTCTAGCTGACCAATGGTTAGTTACGGTATTAGAGAGGGACCCAAACCAGAACCCCAAGTCCAAACCCTCCTAAGCTTCCTGAATCCAACTTCAACCCATTAGCTCTAACTCCTTGGAACATCCTGAACCCTAGGGGCTGGAGAAGGTTCATATACAGGCCCAAAACTTTCTCTGAGGTTTTCAGCCCATCACTAATAATTACGTACATTTTTTCTGTATCCTAGAACAAAATAAATACCAGGCCTAACCGCAGGGGGTTGTGTATTGGGTAACGACTGAAGCTATTTCTTCTGCTCTGTTGTAATATCTTTTCCACTGCCTCGTGTGTAATATATTAAACAAACTGGTTTATTGTCATCTATAATTGCCTTGGTGGCAGTTTCAGCCTCTTTATTTAACACCACAGAGAGCTCACCTTCATCCCTGGAGGGGGCTCCTCCAGTCCAGGGCTGAGACACTGGCAAGGTAGCAACCTGCCCTGGAGCTGCCCACGCTGTACCTGTTCTGTGGCTAACTCAAAGTCTTTGTTTTCCAGGGCTGTCAGGGGACGATTTTCATCGGCACAAACGGCAGTGAGGCGCCTCACTCTCACTGACTTGCAGTGGAATGTAGATGCGCCCTCCCGCCCCCCGACCCTGGCACTAAATTCCTGGTTTAAAATGTGTTTTTTAGTAAATTAGTAAAAAAAAATGGTCCACTAATAATGCAAATGCCTGAAACGCTTTCAATACAGTGGGATGACACTACAATAGAGAATGTTTTAGAAACTAACGGGCCTGATCCTAGAGGGTGCCAAATACTTGCAATTCTCCGAAGTCAATGGAGGTTGCAGATGCTCA